ATCTTTCGAGTTAAGATTATTAAACGAGTTCCGACAAACAAAATTCAAATGATTGTGATGCTACGTTTGCGAATGTGAATGGTACTAATATACTCATCCAGCAATTTGTCTATTTTCAATGTTTTTTTCCTCTCCTTTCTTGTTTGTGTCTACCCTTTGGTTTTCTCCAAATTTGATACATTTACCCTCCTAAAAAAAAACCAAAGCCCCCTTTCTCATTCTCATTTTCTCTCTTTTCCTATATTAGACCATCTTGTTTTGACGGTCCTCCTCCAGTTTTAATTGTTACAAAGAGCTGAAATGTTGGAATACTGTCTAATGCTACTCTATCAAATAGGATAGACACTTCAAATGCATGGACAGCTTCTATTCACAAGGACACAATTTATAACACCTTAAGCGACTATTCTGATATATCCTTTCTTAAGTTGGAGGATAATTTCAGCAAAAAACTTGCAGAAATATGATCTTTTTGGGGTGATTTTTGACTTGTGACCCCCGCTTATCCCATGGAAAGTTAAAAGTGTTGCCCATGGAACAAGCGAGTGACAAAACTTGTTAAACTTAAAATTCTGCCCATAGGACAAACAGGAACAAAAATCCACTTTGAGGTCTATTTGTATACTTCACCCTAATTCCAGAGTTCAATCGAGCAGAGAAAATTCATCAAGCCAGCTGCCTTCATATGGCCCATATATAGCTCACATTAAAAAAAACCACCTCATATTAATATAATTTCAATGGAAAAGAGTACTGTCTTTTCCTATTTAAAGGTCACTATATCAGTGTGCCAGATATTCTCAGGCATTCTAATCTAGCTGTATTTCGAAGGCTTCTTTTTCAGTACTTTCTTCGACATACCCTACTTATAATGGAACCACGTCCTTATGTCCATTGTTGATTTCATATGAAGTCGTAAAATTAGTCTCTCCTCCAAAGTTTCCTAATGGTTTAATGGGTAACAAGTACTATAAGTCTGATTCTCAAGACGAGATTTTCGAAATTTAACTATTGATTTTAACTATTTTTATGTCTAAATTACGACCATGAAAAGAAAAATAAAATTCCTGAATTTCACGTATAAAATATCAGGAATTATGAAATTTATAGGAGCATGATTTATGAAGAATGTGAGTTAAGCGATAATGTTTTTGAGGCCAAGCTTTGAAGGGGCATTCTCACCACATGATTGGGTGTGTGCCCTTTCATGTAAGAATAATTGGGTAATTACCCATCGATGAACAGCATCAGTCTCTTTCTGATTTTGTATCTTTGTACAAAAGTTATAAGAAAAAGTAGAATAAAGACAAACCTGTTATGAAACAATAAAAGAAGAAGAATAGTATTACAGAGAAAAGTAGGGAGAGAGAATTCTTATTGATTTGGGATGAATTACAATGGAATGGAAACCCTCTATTTATAGGGAAAAGGTGACTTAGCCACCAAGTAATAAACCCTAGAATCTCCCTAAATATAGACATTCACCATAAATAAAATTCTATTTATAACACTCCCCCTTGAATGTCTATTCAACAGATAATGTGCCTCATTAAAACCTTAACTAAAATAAAACCCAGTGGGAAAAAAATTCTAGAGAAGGAAAAAGAGTACACATATCTAATAATACGCCTTTTGGTTGCCTCGTTAAAAACCTTGTCAAGGAAAACCCAATGGGACAAAACCTTGTAAGGGAAAAAGAGTACAACGTGTATTAACTCCCCCCTGATGAGAGCATCAATTCACATCTTTAAGCCTTCGCATCCCAATCTTGTGCACCATCTTCAAAAGATCTTTGGTAGAGATTTGATGAACAAATCGGCCATATTAACTTGAATGAATATATTGCACCTTTAAATCATCATTCTTGATAGAGATGAATTGTCTTCATATGATCTTGTTGGAATCGTCATTTCAATATCTTCACATAGAGGTGAAACTCTTGCTATCATATTATCATGCCTATAGTAATAGCAAAATACATTTGTGCACAAATTGCATCGAGGAAGTGGTACTTCAAGATCAAGAATTGTATATGCTTTAAGCAACTTAAATCCTTCAGGGATTGTTAAGTCATATAAGCCATATAATAGACTTTAGATGCATATCAAGTTTTCATGTCATGCTAGACATATAAGTTATCGAAAACTGATTGCACGTACCATCGACTTTATACTTTCAAGTGTTTGAACTACATGTTCAAAACTACATGTCTTTCATATGAAACCAATTCTATTTGAATTGTTTCTCCAGACTTAAGATCCTCATATATATTTAGCGTTATTATAGATGACATCGACAAACATTTTATATCAGTTTCAATATTTTTTTCATAAAGACATAACATAGAGATCTCTTCATTCATATTTTCAGGTACCTGAATGTCTCATGAGATTTTATGAAGTGTTATGTCATGTGATCTTCTAGATCACTTGCCTCCTTTATTATGATCATTTAGATCATTTGCTCATCTTCTTTATCAAGAAGTTTATTTGAAACCGACTTGTCTATACGCTTCAAGCGTACCATAGACTTTGTCCTTCTAGGACTTAATAGGAGCATTTGCAATGAGAATATAGTTACTTTCTATGGGTCAGCAAATGCGTCTGGCATGCTTTGCAATATATTGCAACTGAATTATCCTTTTATGAACTTCAAGTTCATATTATCTTATTCGAGGATCTAGATGTACAAGTGATAATTCATTCCACGTAACCTTTTCTCAGTTGTTTATCATGTCTCCCCCACATGTTAGAAAAACTAACTTATTTTCTCAACTTTGAGAACCCATCTTTGTGCGTTATGGTGTTAATCAAAATATACACTGCACATCAATAATAATAAGATGGAATTATTTGGTTCCTGACCATGAACCACTTGTGAGGGGAGAAATTAATATACTTTCGTATATAACGTATATCAAACTGATATATAAAACTTTGTTCTCATAAGCAATTGTTTAGCTATTAAGTGGAGGCACTCAATAAATCATTATGCTGAACCAGCTGTGATGTAGACCAACTTATCAAGATGAACTTCTTGAATAGAAAATCTGGAATATGCTCTAAATTAAATTATTGAGCAAGTTACCTCGCAAACACCATGTTGCGGGTTAATAATAATCGCACATGTAACCATCTCATAGATGCATCTTATGTGGTATACACGGCAGGTGAATGGGCCCATATTCACCTTTGATATTTTCAGCATTCATGGGATTCAATCCAAATTTTAGTTGATCTATTAATTAATGAGAACAAGCAATATAAGAGAATTCGTAAAGAACTTTCTAGTTCTTTAATATTTACCCATGTGAATTCTCTATTATTTTTGCACATCATACATGAATTAACATGGCTAAACCAAGTATGCCAACTGGATAAATTATCAATATTGATAAAATTCGGGTTTACACCATGATGTGTGCAATTATGAATAAACTCCAATTTTATTATGATAAGGGTTTTTATATCAATAAATATCCACTTCATTGTGGTATTCTTTTGTTTATGTAGTACAAATTGGAGAATAAAGCGGGTAGCTTTTCACATACATATTACCCCGCTACAAGATGTAGTAATAGAAGATATTAAATCTTTCATTTATTTATAGTCTCAATATAATCAACCGCTTTCGCGTATACTTTGGAAACTGAATAAGTTTCTTTGAGACTTACTACAACACAATACCTTATTGGTAATTAATTGTGTTTCTCCAAAATAGTATAATTGGCTCTTGCAGAGTTCTCAATTAATTTTGTAGTACCACATATTCATCAACACCCAATATCTCTTTTAATGAGAAAGTTATACCATTATGGTTATGGTCAAAATTATATGCAAGATCTGTTTCTTGCATTACCGTTGACTTTTAATAATCACAATGCCAAAATATTTTGGCGTACAATAGGTACGTGACCAATGACCATGCATGCCATAATAATGATATTATTTTCTTATATCATCTCAAACCTCCTTCTAGAGGTGAGTGTGGTATATACCACTAGCACGCTCATATTCTTCCAAAAATGAATATGTATTCTTAAATTAGATGTTATCACATTCACATCATGAATAGACCATAATCATCTATATGTGCTTTATAAAATCTCATGTCAAATATTTTCACAAGTGGGGGATTATTTTGAGAATCCTTATTATTCTCATTATCACAATGATGACGATTATAATTTCGTCTATTGCCACGTCCACATCCATTGATACATTCATAGTGATAATTTTGTCTTCTTTCAGACTTATCACATACTGCTATCACATTCTCTTAAGGGAATGAGAATGGAGCAAATTCAATGGGACGGGTTTCCACTTTTTGTGCCCATAATCATACATGAATTTGATCATGGCAAGAAATAGAAACTTTTACCACTTCAGGTGGTTATAATTTCTTACAAACTCCATTAGAGTTTTAATCAAACTTTGTTGTCTTTGCTTGTATTTAAAATCAAAGTATAGAATAAAAGAGAAAAATACGGTAAAACACTTACCTTAAATCCAGAATTTAATCATGAAGAAAGTTCATGGAACAATTGACAATCATTATGCTCAAACCCAAAGTTTCTACTCAATTGGTTAGAGTCTCGTGCTGATAACGTGTTATGAAACAATAAAAGAAGAAGAATAATATTGCAGAGAAAAGTAGGGAGAGAGAATTCTTATTGATTTGGGATGAATTACAATGGAATAGAAACCCTCTATTTATAGGGAAAGGGTGACTTAGCCACCAAGTAATAAACCCTAGAATCTCCCTAAATATAGACATTCACCATAAATAAAATTCTATTTATAACAAAACCTGAATTCTGAGGGGAGCTTTGTAGCATACACTTGGCCATGTCTGTAAACAGGCCAAAATAGGACTACAATTTCAAAATACTATCAATTCTTTCTCATTCCTTTGACATTTGACTCACGACTTTTGCATCAATTTAGACTAGGTGAATTACACTACACGTTGCAGGGCGTCCATAATTTTAACACACTGAATAATACGAACCGAACAGAGCCAATTCTATTGCTGTACTTGTATTTGTCTTGCTATTTACTACTGCAGCTTTAATGGATACAAGTTTATGCGAATTCACTCACAAACGTACACACTAATTGTCTGTTACAAATGAGCCATTCAAAATAAGCAGAAATTTTCTCTCTATCAGAGATACAAGGTGGGAACAATATGCATAAAACACTGGACAGAAACTCAAACACCCCCATCCCCCAAAAAGTATCCTTTCATAACTTCTTGTTGTTAAGGCCGTGCTCCTGACTGCTAAGAAGCATATCCTAGACCAAGAGGTCGTTAAAGAATGTCACCTTCTGGCATCCACATGCAAAGAAGGCGATAATAAAATTTTCTTCCCTCTTTCCTTCCATACCTAAAGAGCCCCTTTTTCAATCTGGTCAACATGCCAGACACCGTGTTTGTCACAGGTTTCCATGACCTCAGCTTTATCATCTTTAACTTAGACAACTGGAGATCTTTGTGCAGACAAGCCGTCAAGACTAGGTCGAGTACAATAGATGATATCTTATTCTCTGAACTCCTCCTAATGGGACTAAATGTCTTATTTACAGGTTTTGCAATGGATCTCACGTCCCAAACCCTTAGATGTTCATAATAGCTACTGGTCAGCAAGATATTAGGGTGACTTGGACTCTCTGCAATGTAACGGATGCCTATTGCATGAACTTCCGTATTGTGGTAAGCTAACTTACAAGGATCATCTCACAAATCCCGGCAAATGAATTTGCAGTCATCCTGACAGTGTATATAGCAGCTGTGGCTGGTGGATATCAAAAGAGGCAGCCAAAGCTCATAATCATGTGCTTTTCAGTCTTGGGAAATACTTAGTTGAGATTCAAGGATTGATGTTACTACCCGTATTTATGACATATCTCTAGCAAATCGATCCCTACAAGAAATAGAAGACCTTGTCATTGAAGCACTTCAGTTATTTCCTCAATAAAAGGTACACTTTTTGTAACATGAAGAGAGATCCTAAGTTATTAACAAAGTGACTGGTATTGTAAACACAGGTTAAGAAAGAGAAGTGAGTGGTATTGTTAACATAAAGTACATACCTGGAACGGAGGATATAAACTTTCTAATTCTTAATATATTCAATGAGCCTCATAAGTCAATTCTACATATGCATGATTCTATGTCCTGCTCTGGCACCAACAACCCCCTCGCCAGAAAAGCCAAGATCTCTTATAGCAGTGATTAATTACTAAAAGAAACTACATGAGTTCTTAGCACTTGCCAAATCTCACCCAAGAAAAAGAAATCATAATACCTATTCACACTTTTATAACTACCATTGTTAAATGTTGCACCATGGTTTTTATTGAAAGAACACTAGAACATACAGCTATAAGTGACAATGAGTACTTTCTACAGTTTACACATTGCTTGATAAGTTTCTACTACACTCTAACAGAGTATTTTCCCCCAAATCTTTATGTATTCCAAACCTCGGGAAAACTTGTTTCTTTCACTACTGTGTTTGATAACCTCTTGATTTGGCTACAGAATTAATAAATGTGATCAAGAGTACTGATAGCACACTCGAGTGGAATCTCTTGATAACTATAGTTGTTTTAGACCTGCCATTATATATTGGTGTTTCAATAATGAATTTAAGTGGTTCTACAAATAAATATTTAGTCCTAAGTAAGAAATAAAATCCCATTTGGCTGTATTCCCTGAACTAAGGTCATCTAACTTCTTTATCATGTGAAAGGAAACATAAGCATACCATGAATTTCTGATCCATCTAAAGAAGAACTAAATTTGACTACTCTGGCATAACCATTAACATCGGCCTGAGCAAGTAAAGGACCAACCTTTCTCCCAACAGAGGTCAGGGCACCATTCTATATCAGAATTACCAGTTACTTCCATTTGGCAAGCCAATTTAAAAATATGAGCATCAGCATCAACATCAACAAGGGATAACTACAGGACCAAACATCCTGAACTCCTTGTAGAGTGTACTTAGAGGCAGCTAGAATATGGTGGAAAAATTCACGAGTCTGAAACAGCACAGGATTGGAATTTCATCAAGATAGCAACTTGACATATCAATAATTAACGTACAAAATAAATGATCCCACCTGTGCCAACTGTTGAACAACCACAGTGGCCAATCTACGTGCACTCTCCATCTTCTTCATCTCTCAACCTTTGCCTCTCTTTTTCTCTTATTTGATCCCCCAAAATCCTGTGCTTCTACATGCCTATGAATATGAAATGTTAAGACTTAAATTAAATGATGGGAAAATCTTGGAATTCCCTAAAGAACACATTTTCTCTGAAAAAATAGTTAACATGTATGATCTGACATTCTATATAACATGTGAAGCAAAAGAAGGAGAACAAAGGCATCATTATGCGACGTGATGGAAAAAGAATCACTCAAGAAAAGTTTGCACCCTAAAATCAATCAATTACAAACTTGATACTTTAGTGATATTATCACATCAACCTGCAACTTTGATAACGAAAAAGAGCAACAAGATAAACTTGTTACATAGTTACTATTTTCTTTTCTTTTCCTTTATTTTCTTTACAAACTTGATACCTTAGTGATATTATTCCTCTGTTTCTTTTTTTTTTCCCTCCCTTTTTTTTTGTTTTATTTTAAATCTATACTCTTCTTGTCTCCTATGACCATATTATCCTAAAGAATCACAAAAGCTTTTTTCCTTTTTGGTGCAACATTAGAGGTTTCCAATTGAAATTTACAAGTTTTAAAACTAGTACGTGTTAGGTGGTACTGGTACAAAAACATTTAAGACCTTTTCAAAACTAGAATGCAGTAAAAGTTAAGGAAGAAAAGAAACCGTCTAGATTTATGTTGGAAAACTAATTCAAAGTTGTAGTAGAAAACCTAACTTTTTTAGAATTTGATATTTGCAAGTTTATTTAATTCATGTCTAAATAGGATTTGTAGTCATAATTATATAGGAATAGGCTTTACTATTTCTGGTCAAAATAAGCTTGGCACTATTATAAATAAGGGTGCTACTAGTTATTTTTATTGTGTGGAGGAAATAAAGAATTGTAGAGATCAATTCAAAGATTTATAACAAAATATTTTCCTTCATATTGGTATGATCTTGGGAGAGAATCAAGTAGCTTCCGCTGTCGGCGGGCCGGCGCTAGCCAATGTGCGCCGCCCGTCTGGCCGAAAAATATGTTGGCAAAATCATAGATAGTTGTCAGTAAAATTAGATTATTCGATGAAAAGTTTCAGGACAGATTCAAGAAAAAAAAACAAGTTTAAAAAGGTGCAAACAAATATGGCACAAGAGGAAAAAACTCTTCTCTAAAAATTTGAGAGAGGCTTAAAAAAAGTCGGAAGTTGATTACGCGCTTCAACAAAATTGGGTGTTGGTGACAAAGTGCATCAACGAGAGTTGAAGATAGGTGCTTCAACAAAACTGAGTGTTGGTGACAAAGTGCATCAACGAGAGTTGAACACAGGTGCTTCAACAAAATTGAATGTTGGTGACAAAGTGCATCAACAAGAGTTGAGGCAGGTGCTTCAACAAAATTGGGTGTTGGTGACAAAGTGCATCAACGAGAGTTGAAGACAGGTGCTTCAACAAAACTGAGTGTTGGTGACAAAGTGCATCAACGAGAGTTGAACACAGGTGCTTCAACAAAATTGAATGTTGGTGACAAAGTGCATCAACAAGAGTTGAAGGCAGGTGCTTCAACAGAAATTGTGTGTTGGTGACAAAGTGCATCAACGAGGGTCGGAAATATGTGCTTCAACAAAAGTGGAAGTTGAAGAGAAACTCTCAAATACAACAAGAACAACAAAAAAGTCAGACGTACAACTTTGAAGTACGGGAGAATGTTGGAAAACTAATTCAAAGTTGTAGTAGAAAACCTAACTTTTCTAGAATTTGGTATTTACAAGTTTATTTAATTCATGTCTAAATAGTATTTGTAGTCATAATTTATATAGGAATAGGCTTTTCTATTTCTAGTCAAAATAAGTTTGCGCTATTATAAATAGGGGTGTTACTAGTTATTTTTATTGTGTGGAGGAAATAAAGAATTGTTATTGATCAATTCGATTTATAATAAAATATTTTCTTTCAATTTATATGACACTCTTTCTAGTTGGAGGCACCCCTAAACCTTAAACACTATTATACAAAATATATTAGTGTACCCAATTTTCACAACTTCTCTATACTTAAATCAAACAAACATTTTCAAACTCAATATTCAGTCAAAAACCATCCTTTAAAATGTGAAAGCGATATATTCACCTTGCTGCATCATCAATCAATTGACTAGTAAAAGAAATGCAAACATGGCTGAAATGACACTCATCAAAATTAAGAGTATTAATAAATGTTATTTCAATCAAAAGGGCAAATGAGACACACAAAGGATAGAAATTGAAGGGACAAACGCTGTGTACCGATAGGCTGAACCAAAGAAAGTGACATGACCTCAGTTTCGTTTCTTAACGCATCCACCAAAGTAAACCAGAAGCCCGGCAAGAGATGAGCAATTATCGTGAGAAAAATCCTCAAGCCCAAGCCAATATACGGGTCAAATTGAACATTACGAAAAGTAACAGCCAGTATATATGAAACTATTTCATTATAGTCAGAATGGGAGAAGAAGTATGCGACGGAAATAGAAATGCAGAGGAAGAGTTGAACCTCCAAACCCAGGCAAAGTTTCATTCATGGTGATGGAGTTTGCATTGGCAGTCCGAGAGCTGCCCAAAGTGGTTAGTGGTGATTGTGAGAGAATTCTAGAGCCTTTAACTTTAAATATGTGTTGTACAAATTAATTTATCAAAACGGGCTCAATAGTTGGGCTCTTTAAATGTTTTAAATTCTAGTATGAGATACAGTAGTTCTTAAAGCAATTCTTGCTAAGAAAAATGGGATTTTTTATTTTGGGTCCTCAACTAGTTAGTAGTTAACATTCAACATTTCAACATCAATATCAAATTAGTTTAGCGTTGACAAATGTTCATTTCAGTATAATATTAACAAGTAATTTGTTGTTTACGGTAAATTAACAAATTAGGGATCCGTAATATCATAAGGTCCACTTATAGCCTGTTTGGCCAAGCTTCTCCAACGAAAAAAGTGTTTTTTTCCCAAAGTTGTAGTGTTGGCCAAGCTTTTATAAGAAATAAAGTGTTTTTGAGTAGAAGAAGAAGTAGTTTTGGAGAAAGAGAAAAAATTAGCTTCTCCCCAAAAGCTCAGAAGTGTTTTTCACATGGCCAAACACAAACTGCTTCTCGCCGAAAGTACTTTTGAAAAAAATACTTTTAAAAAAAATACTTTTCGAAATAAGCTGATTTTTTCAACTTGGCCAAACAGACTATAAGTGTAAGTCTTAATTTGAATCAATCAAATATAAGTTCATAACTTTTAATTCTATTTTTACCACTCGTTATTTGCTCTCTATAAGTGAATCATTTATATTTTGTACAAAATCTTAAAACCGTATGACAATGTTCATTTAAAAATTCCCGTAAATATTCCTTTTATACCACTATTCTATCTACTTCAAACAAACCCACCACCACCATCACATAGCTCCCAATCACCTTCTAAAAAGCAACCAAACCAAGTAAGTCGATTTTTCAAATATTAGAACCAAACCAAACCAATTAAGTCGGTTTTTCTCGATTCGGTTTATGTCGGTTTTTCGGTTTTTTCGGTTATTTGTCGGTTTTTTCTTAAATATAAGACATACACTACCAAACACATATTCCGGCGACCACATTTTTAATGTAACACTATCAAATCAATTGCCCTTTGAGAAATCTATTATTTACCAAGATATATTAATGATAATTGAATCAAATAGTGATGAATAATTTAAGGACTCAATTAAAAATATGTTATTTTTAACACGAAATGGATTCTTACACTAAACAAAAGAGAACTACCAATCAAACTAGAATGTAAAGGTAAAGAACTATATTAAAAGTGAAACTATTAACATTTACCATAAATTTTTTAAAACTTTGTATAACAATATACATATTTATAGGTGTAATAATAAATTTGAAATAGCTAATCCTATAGTCGGTTTGGTTCGGTTTTTTTCTAATTAAAACCAAAACCAAACCAAATTTGATCGGTTTTTAAAGTTCAAAACCAAAACCAAACCAAACAAAAAGTATCGGTTTTTTTTGTCGGTTTGGTTCGATTTTTTGAATTTTTATGAACACCCCTAAGTGTACTTATAATTTAATGATTAAAAATTTATTCTAGATAGTTATTCCCAACTTCTCCATTATACGCTCTCATAGATCAGCCCCACTCCAAAAAGAAATCAACCAAATTAGAAAGAATTGAATAACATATTGCAAAACAAACCGCAAGCAGTAAAGTGGAAGTTGCTTTGATTCTTGTGAAATTTTAAATACAAAGTCAAAGTATGCACTCCAATTAAATATTTAATTGGACTGGCGCACGGCAAAGGTCTCTCAATGGGCAGTAGCAAATGGAGTTAGAGAAAGTATTTCCACTATGAAATTAAAAATGGTAAATTTCATTTAGGAACATCAAAAGTGATACTTAAAATCGGGGAAAGAAGCATAAACAAAGTACGTGCTAGGAATTGGGAGGGAAAAAACGTGGAATTAGCTTAATTAACAGTATCTTGGGCACGATATTAGTTGACAAAAATTTTATTTATGATATATTTGAGAAAAAGAAAAGGATAAAAAAAAAAAAAAACTTTTAGTTATCTATGGTATTACTGTAGTCAAGCAGGTTCATTCCATCAATGAGGTATTCTGTGGTATTCTTTTTTTTTTTTGTAACAAACGGATCTGGCATAAAGAATATAAACGTTGAAACCAGTCACAACATATAACTTAAATTCAATTTCTTCGGACTTAAGTTATATATATTGAGAACTTGTACATTATGAGCGTAATCTAGCCGTTGTGGTACATATTTCATGATAATGTTGAGATTTTAAAAGTGTTCAAGTTTTCTGTATTGACGTTGTAAAAATAATTTCCACAAGGTCATTTATGATATAATTACTTAATAACTATTAATTGATAATCTATCTATCTATATATATATATATATCTATACTATATTTAAAGCACGAAGGCCCTTAGTGAAATGTCGTTCGCCTTTTTTACCCTTTAAAGTATAGAGTTCACATTAAACAAAATAGTAATTTGAGTATTTCATTAATGTTTAGAAATAATTATTTAACTAATTCTCCTCTAATTTAGGAAAGCTTTTTAATTATTCTCCTATTATTAACAACCTAGGAAAGTTAATACTCCCTACGTTGTTAATACCTTTAAGGTTTTGAAGACCTTTTTTGTAGTTAAAAATTTTTTGCGTTGCCTAAGTTTTCGCCCCTACGTTCAACTCCCTATGATGGAGTATTAAATGTGTTTATTTTGTAGTTAATACCTTTTAGGTTTAGGAGATCTTTTTGATTTAAGTTTTTTGCCTTAAATCTCACACACAATTTTCTTTTTGGTTAGGAGTCTTTATTATTTGGTACTCCTTCCGGTCCACAATAAGTGATTTTTTGGCTATTTTCACACAGATAAAGAAATACACCTTTTAACATTAATTAGCAATGAAATTGACCATATTAACCTTTACTATCTCCACATAAATACTCCTAGCACATACTCCAACATTATTTACTCCAAGGGCAATGTAGGAAAAAATAATTAATTCATTCTTGAAATCTAGAAAATCACTTATTTTGGACCACCAAAAAATCACTTATTGTGGACCGGAGGGAGTAAAATTTACCGTATGTGCGTTGCCTGTGTACCTAATCTCAATATGTAAGTATACTTACAAAAAATTATATTCGAGTATGTGTGTCAATTTCATGATCAATATTTATCATGTTCAAGAACTCAAAATTTTACTTAATATATTTTTGTGACTAAACCATGCTTTGAATATTATTTATATTTTTTTTAAAATAATTCTCATTAATATAGGGTACACGCGCAACACGCATACCGTGAGACTAGTGTTTAACCAAAAATTAGATTTTAGGTCAAAGCTTGAATTTAGAAGAACACGGGTTACTGATAATCGGAAAAGAGTATATAAAGAAAGAAATTTATGAATAATATAATCAGAAAGCAAGTAAATCAAAGTATATTCCAATAGTGTTTTTTTCGTGCTTACAGTTGTTTGTGACTTTCCCTTTTATAGCCATTTTGGGAATACAGACTTTACCTTTGTCATAATAAGACAATTATGGATAATTAATGACCTTAAATATTACGTTATGCAATCATATACATTAAATACATATTCTCTAACGTTTCTAGTATTTAATACTCATTAAGTGATGTATCTGAGCTCTTTTTTGCTGTCAGATTCATTCCTTTGACTCTTCACGATCTTTGACCTTTAAATGTCTTGAATAGGTACGAGCGTTGAATTACTTGTATGACTGCTCGTGCCTTCTCCATTTAACTTGTTCGTATCTGTTGTTGCTCGTATCTGTTAACCAACCTTAATTCTTCGATTGTTTGACCAGTCTACGTGTCATGACACGTCACCATATATATATAAATACATTTTTTTCCAATACAGATAGTACCCCCACTTTCCATTTATTCATCAGTTTGAATACTTGGGAAGTGGAATTCATTAAAGGAGAATTTTTGTCACCATTAATGCTCTGATAGAGTTGACGCTTCAATTATCACTTTCATTTAATGCTTTAGACACGTGTCATCTTCTTATTGGTTCCACAGTTTTACAGCACTTTCTCAGGCTTTCTTTTCGGCTCCACTGTTCATGAAGTACCAGTTTGTGACCCTTCCATTACTGCATTTTTACTTTTGACGGTCACCCATCATCTTCTAAGAGCAAGGAGGCCTCTGAACCATTACAGGAGTCCTTGGTAGAAGAGATAGTCCCTAACGATTTATCTTTTCACCGTGATAGACAATCACTTCAAACCCAAGTTTCTGGTCTAGATCGTACCGACGCTTACCCCACTATGATTACAGAGATTTTAGCTCCCATAGTTTGCAAAGATTGTCACTGGAGTAACGATTTTCCCATTGTAATCCCCAATCCAAATCAAAGGATTACTTCATATATGACTGGACTCTCTTTCGTTTACACATACCCTTTTACTCTTGGGTTTAAACCAGCTATCGACCCAGTAATTCTCGATTTCTGTCGTTTCTTCAAAGTTTGTTTAGCATAGATTGGCCCGCTGGTATGGAGGGCTGTTGCTTGTTTAAGGCACCTGGCTAATTTGGCAGATGTTAATTTCACTTTCCCTCACCTAATTCATCTATACTCCCCTAGACTTTTTCATAATGGCATCTTTACCTTAGTGGCTAGGAGTAAGAGGGTTTTGGTGAGCCCAGAAGATGATAAGGATCGTGGCTGGTATGCCCGATTTGTTGCTGCCCCCACAGTTGGTTTAGTGGGTGAACAAAACGTTCCCTTCCCTGAGAAGTGAAACTTTGCACATAAGTCTCTCATCTCTCTCGTACCTCTTTCTTTCGAGTTTATCAATTTCTTTAACTCCGCTTCCCTCTTTCTTTTTTAGCAACCATGGGAGTTGTGGAGAACATTCCCAATTTTCGTGGTTGGGTAGATAAATTGTTGAAGATAGCGCCTATGGAGGCTAGGTCTTGGAAATTTATTTCCAATCGTCATGGTTGGAAAGTAAAGACTCACGGTATGAGTTTTTGTATTTCTCATATATAAATTTTTTTCCCTTTACTGCTTTAACTTTCAACTTTCTCTTTGTCAGGTTTTGCTATTCGAGGTGTTACTGATGAAGCAGTTGCGGCCTCTCGTTTAGGAACCCAACTTTCCTTAGAAAGTGCTCAGGATATTCTTCTGAAAAGAAAAATCGCGGACGATGATAGCTCCGACGAAGGAGAGGAGGATGGTTCCTTGGTGACAAGGCCAAGAGTTCGGAG